CAGAAACCCTGCGAGAAGTTTGTGGTCACTTATAGACTCACTGCACCTTAGAGCCTGGATCACCAGCACCGAGCCCCTCCCTTTACGAGTGGGGAAACTGAGGCCCGGCAACGTGAGTGATGGGCCCAAAGTCATATACAAAGTCATATCCTGGCTCTGGTCCCTTGCCTGGGGTCCCTGGCTCTGCTCATCACCCCCTATCGCACATCAGCTGTGCCCCAAGACATAAAAGTCAAGTTGTGTGTGTGTGTGCGTGTGTGTGGTGGGGGGAGGGGGTCTCAGACTTGTCTCAATCCCGTACTTGACCAAGGAGAGAGATCTTGTAACCCCTGTCTCACCCACCCTGTCTGTGCCAGACCTGGACACACAGGAGGTGTTCAGCCCGCAGGGCTGAATGACGGACACCTCCTGTTCGGCCCAGTCTCGTCCCACCTAGAAGTGAGGGCACCTCGGAGTTTCTCTTTTCTCCTCCAGGTTAGCAGTTCCTACCTCTGGGACTGAGTCCAACATAGTTACTGTCCCTCCCCCCTGCCCAGCACCTAAGGGGAAGATGGAGTGGAGGGTGCAAATACTTTGGGGGGCTCTGCTCTGTGCCCGGCATTTTGCTAAGTGCTTTGCAAACGCATCTCATTTAATCAGAGCAAGCTATCACCCCATTTCAAAATTTGAACCAGAGGAGCACCTGGGTGGCTCGGTTGGTTAAGCGCCTGACTCTTGATTTCAGCTCAGGTCGTGATCTCATGGTTCATAAGATCAACCCCGAGTTGAGGATTCTCTCCCTCCCTCTCTCTCTCTGCCTCTCCCCTGCTCACAATCTCTCTCAAAATAAATAAAATTTGAACCAGAAACATTTTGGAGGGCTTTGCACAATGCATTGCCGAGGGAGGGAAGCAAAATGCAAAAGTGTAGTAGAGAAGATTCCATTTCTTTTTCTTTCTTTTTTTCTGAGAGACAGAGAGACAGAGCTTGAGCAGGGGCGGGGGAGAGAGAGAGGGAGACACAGAATCTGAAGCAGGCTCCTGGCTCTGAGCTGTCAGCACAAAGCGTGATGCAGGGCTCGAACTCACAAACTGTGAGATCATGACCTGAGCTGAAGTTGGAGGCTTAACCAACTAAGCCACCCAGGAGCCCCTAGAAGATTCCATTTCTGACAACAGTGATCAACTCCCCTCCCTCTACCCCTTCCTTGTATATATATGCATGTGTGTGTACCTACGTATACAGGTCGGCATTGGATTATATCCTAGATAAAAAGAGAGAAGAGGCGTGCCTGGGTGGCTCAGTCAGTTAAGCATCCAACTTTGGTTCAGCTCATGATCTCACGGTTTGTGGGTTCAAGCCCCTTGTCAGGCTCTGTGCTGACAGCTCAGAGCCTGGGGCC